TGGGACAGACCCCCCTTAACCCCCCCAATGCCCATAGGGACACCCTGCACTGGGGCAGACCTCCTACAGCCCCCCATGGCCCTGGGGACACCCTGCACTGGGACAGACACCCCCCTTCACCCCCCCATGGCCATAGGGACACTCTGCACTGGGACAGACCCCCCTTAACCCCCCCAATGCCCATAGGGACACCCTGCACTGGGGCAGACCTCCTACAGCCCCCCATGGCCCTGGGGACACCCTGTACTGGGACAGACCCCCCTTCACCCCCCCATGGCCATAGGGACACTCTGCACTGGGACAGACCCCCCTTAACCCCCCCAATGCCCATAGGGACACCCTGCACTGGGGCAGACCTCCTACAGCCCCCCATGGCCCTGGGGACACCCTGTACTGGGACAGACCCCCCTTCACCCCCCCATGGCCATAGGGACAGGCCCCTTTCAGTCCCCCATGGCCTTGGGGACACTCTGGACTGGGTCAGCCCCCCTCCAATCCCCCACGGCCCTGGGAACACCCTGCACAGGGACAGACCCCCTCAAACTCTTCTCCATGCCCTTGGGGACACCCTGCAGGGTGACAGCCACCTCGGTGTCATCGAGAACACCCTGCACTGGGACAGCCCCATCCACACCCCCCCGCATGGCCTCAGGGACCCTCTGTGGTGGGACAGCCCCCCTTCAGCCTCCCATGGTCTTGGGGACAACCTGCATTGCAACATCCCCCATCCAGCCCCCACCATAAGCTTGGGGACACCCTGTGGTGGGACAGCACCCCTCCAGCCCCCGAAGACCTTGGGGACACCATGCATGGGGATACCATGCACAGGGACAGACCCCTTCGAACTCCCCCCCATGCCCTTGGGAACACCCTCTCATAGGACAGCCCCCCTCCATCTCCCCAGTGGCATTGGGAACACCCTGTACTAGGACACCCCCATCCATCCCCCCCCCGGCCTCAGGGACACTCTGTGCTGGGACAGCCCCCCTCCAGCCCACCCATGACCACGGGGACAGGGCCCCTCCAGCCCTCTGTGGCTCTGGGGACACACTGCACTGGGACATCCCCCCTCCAGTCCCCCACGGCCTTGGGGACAATCTGCACAGGGACAGACCACCCTTGAATCCCCCTCCCATATCCTTGGGGACACTCTGCAGTGGGACAGCCCCCCTCCAGCCCCCCATCATGGCCTCAGGGACACCTCCTCATGGGACTGCCCCCCTCCAGCCCTCCCAATGTCCTTGGGGACAACCCACAGTGGGACAGGCCCCCTCTCCAATGTCCTCGGGGACATCCTCTCATGGGACAGCCCTCCTCCAGCCCCCCATAGCCTGGGGGACAGCCCCCCTCCAGCCCCTCACGCCCTCGGGGACACCGTGTGGTCCCCAAGGGGTTCTGGGGAGCCGGGGCTGCTCCCACCTCTGCTGCGGGCAGGGCAGGGGGGAGCCCAGCCCGCCGGGACAGGGCTCGCTGGAGGACACGACGTGGGGCTTGGTGTAGGATTCCTTCACTGCCGCCGTGAAGCTGCGGGGGTGGGGGGGTGTGCGAGGTGAACAGCAGGTCCTGCGAGGCCCCACCGCTGTCACCGTGCCCCCTCCCAGCGCCCCCAGCCCTACCTCTCCCAGTAGCTGCACACGTTGGGGTCGCTGGGGCGGAGGGCAGCCAGGAGGGCGGCGTGCACGGCCAGCACCGCGGCCCGCAGCAGCATCCTGCCCGGAGAGAGACCACGGCTGCACCCTCTGCCTCCACACATTCCCGCTCCACACCCACCGCCCCCGGCCCCGGCTCTGGATCCGAGATCCGACCTCCCCGCGGGGCTGGCTTCGCATTCCTCCACCCCGAGAAACGGCCCCGGCCCCGCTGCTCCCCCCGTGCCAGGGGGAAACTGAGGCGCGGCCGCTCGGCAGCCTGGGTGGCCCCACGCAGCCTCATCCCAGCATCCCCAGACACCCCGGGGCGCATCCTGGCATCACCCCAACCTCTCCAGCAGGACCCCATCCCGGGATGCCGCCAGAGGTGGGAGCCCGGGGTGCCGGGGCGGGGTTTGGCACGGCGGCTCCAGCCCCTGGCGCGGCGCCGCACGGCCCCACTTCAACCCGTTCTGTGTTTATTCCCAGTTGTGCTTCCTGGATCCAACGGCTTCTTGCTCAACCCAGAGAGGGTCTGGCTTTGCCGGGGCGGCTCCGGGATCGTTGCCAGCCCGGGGGGCCCGGCTGGGAGGGCCAGCGAGCCCCTGAGCCCCCCGTGCTGGGGGTGCTGTTTACCGGGACGCGTGTTACGGGGCTGGGGCTGCCGAGTGCCAGGGAGGAAACAGAGGTTTCCTGGTCAGCACAGCTGGATTCACGCTGGTTTCCTTGCTGCTCCGGCCGTAGGACACCCCAAAGGTGCTGCCCCGGCAGCCCCCTGAGTTCATCCTCCCCCTCACCGGAGCCCGCGCTGCGTTTTGGGGCCAGAGCATCCGGTTTTGGGTGGAAAAACGGTTTAGTGGGAAAGTTTCCCCCATTTCCCTTCGGCTCCCGGCAGTGAGGAATTAATTGCTTATCCGCTGCCAAAATTCCCTCCCCTGGACCCTGGCAGGGGGGGAGAGCCATGGGAACCCCAAGCCCTCCCAGTGCTCCCACTGCCAGCCTCATGCTCTGCTCCAGCAATGGGGGGTGGGGGGTCCCAGAACTGCCGGGAACAACAGGAACCACTGGGAGATACCGGCAGGAAAAGTGAGGAATCATCAAAACATGCTGGCGGGCCCCATCTGCTCCTCACTGGGGAGCCCAACCGCGGGAAAGAGCCCCCCCATGGATGCCACAGTGGCGAGAGACCCCCCCCCAAGACCTGACACTTCCCTCCCCACGGCTGTCCCTGAGCACCTCCCGGGTGGGATGAGGAGCATCAGCCGCTGGTGATGGGGGTGGAGGGGGCATGTGGGGTGAGGGCAGGGGACCAGGGACCAGCCCTGCCCTGTCCCTGCAGGGGACACTGCGCTGGGCTCCCCCAGCCGTTATCTCTTCCTCCACCACAGCCCGGGGGGTGACGCGTTTCCTCCGGGACCGCGGACCCGCAGGGATGGGGCTGGGTGAGGGTGAGGGGGGCAGGGGGGTGAGTCAGGGACATGGGCAGGGACAGGGGCAGGGGCAGCACTGGGGTCACCAAAGGGTGTCGCAGCCCTGTCCCACTCCCCGTCCACCGCCGTCCCCTCGCTGTCGTCCCCCCCCGCCCCCGCATCCCCTCACCTTGGAACCTGCACCATTCCCAAGCCCCCCACGGTGCTGGGGGCTGTTCCCGCTCCGGCAGCACCTCAGGGCACGGCGCAACCCCCCCCGCCCCACCCCCGGCCCCCAGGGTGCCCCAGGCTGGGCACGGTGGCACTCACCTGGCCGGGGGCCGCGGTGACAGGCGGGGGGGGGTGCAGTGGCCCCACGCGGGGCTGGCCTGGCCGGTGGGCTCGGCCGGCCGGGATGGCGCAGCACGGCCGTCGGAAGCGGAGGGAGGGCCCGGAGCTGCTCTCAGGAAGTTTGGACGTGGAGACTACTACGGAAAAAGGAAAAAAATAAAAAACCCTAATTATTTTTTTCTTTTCTTTTTTTTTTCTTGTCTGTCCAGGAACCAGCAGAGTTTTGGCACAGCAGCATCCCCGAGGCTGCTCACACACGGCGCTGGGGGGGGATGGGGTCCATGGGGACGTCCCGGCGTGACCCCTCAGCTGCAGGGTGTCCCTGTCCCGAGGGCTCTGTGGCACCCGTGGGTGCAGGCCCTGACCTGGAGTGTCCCACAGGGCCGGGGCAGGTGAAGGGACCCCCCAGCCAAGGGGAGGGGCCGGGGGGACCGAGGTGTCCTTCAGCTTCATGGCACGGACTGGTGGTTGGGAAGCAGAGCCCGGGCTGGTGCCCAGTGTCCTGGGCACATCATCCCTGCATCCCAACATCCTGGGCACAGCATCCCTGCATCCCAACATCCTGGGCACAGCATCCCTGCATCCCAGCATCCTGGGCACAGCATCCCTGCATCCCAACATCTTGGGCACAGCATCCCTGCATCCCAACATCTTTGGCACAGCATCCCTGCATCCCAGCATCCTGGGCACAGCATCCCTGCATCCCAGCATCCTGGGCACATCATCCCTTTATCCCAACATCCTGGGCACAGCATCCCTGCATCTCAGCATCCTGGGTACATCATTCCTGCATCCCAAGGACACATCGTTCCTGCATCCCAACATCCTGGGCACACATCATCCCTGCATCCTTGGATCCCAGGAAGACATCCTTCCTGCATCCCAGGCACATGTTCCTGCACAACATTCCAGGCACATCATTCCTGCATCTCAGGTAAATCACCCCTGCATTCCAGGGACACATCATTCCTGTATCCTGGGCACACACCATACTTGCATCCTGAACTCTCAGGTAACATCGTCCCCACATTCCGGGCACACACTGTCCCAGCATCCCGGGCACACATGATCCCCACATCCCAGGATCCCGGGCACACATGACCCCTCCATGTCAGACACCCCAGCCTTACATTGCAGGATCCTGGCCACGTGTTTCCCCAACATCCCGGGATCCTCAGCCATCCATCACCTCTGCATCCCTGGATCCTGACTATATATCACAATTACATACCTGCATCCCGGGACCCCCATCCACGTGTCACCCCTATCCTGGGACACCCGTCCACGTGTCGCCCCCACCCCGGGACCCCCGGCCGGGCAGCTCAGCCCCAAGTGTCCCCCTGCCCAGCCGCCCCCCCCCCGCCCCCATCCCCCATTAGCGGCCTGCGCTGCTCCCGAGGCGCCGTTAATTGCTCTGCTCGTTACAGGAACAGCTCTAATCACTCACAACGATTTTCACGTCCCAGGGCGGCTCAGCTGCCCACCCCCCTCCCCTACCGCCCCCCCTCCCTTGCCCGCCCCGGCTCTCCATTAGGATCGAGCCCACCCGCAGCTGAGGCTCCGCTGTGGCCACCCCAAAACGGCGCTTCCTGGAGCAGGGGTTGGGCACCGAGGGGTCCCGCGCTGGAGACATCCGGAGCTGGGGACCTGGCGTGGAAGTGACCCCCCCCGCCCCGCGCCAGTGCTTTTTAAGGTGTCCCCAGGGCGGTGTGGAAGTATTTATTGCTCGGGGACACTTCAGCGGCACTTCAGTGCCGAGATGCCTTTGCAGCCCCCCCGAGAGCCCCCGGAGCCAGAGAGGACGGAGACCCCCAAGTGCACTTCGGTGTGGTTGGGGGCTGTGCGGGGTCCATCCCTTGCAGGGCCAGGACACAGCCGCATTCACAACTCCGCTGTCCTCCCATCCATCCACCCCATCCGGGGGGGAGGAACCCCAAAACACGCCTGGTCCCTTTAGAGGGGACCTGGGGTCGCTTTAGTAGCTTCTGAGGGGTGGGACCTCCCCCAGAGAGCAGATCCAGCCCTGCCACGGTCTGAGCCTGCGGCATCAGGGAGCAGGAGGGTGGCTCAGCCGGGCTGGGACCCTCTGGGCAGGATCCGTCCGGGGGTCACCCAGCCGGGCTGCAAGAGGCAGAATCGGGGCCGAGACTCCCCAGGTCTGAGGAACCCGGGTTAGCGGGGCCAGGCCACGGTGCCGCTGGGGCGGCAGCTCCGCCTGGGAGCGGAGCCGTTAATTACCTCATTGCCAGAGTCCATTACCGCTCCCCCCGGAGCAGTGAAATGGAGAAACTGCTGCAGGAGGGAGAGAGGGGAGGATCCGATCGATCGCGGGGGGAGCCTTAACTCTTCCCTGACCACCCTAAGGGGGAAACTGAGGCACAGCCACCCCCACGGGGGAAACCGAGGCATCGCCACCCCAGGAGGGAAACTGAGGCACGGCTGCAGGGGAGCCCTCCCTGTTTTGGGAGGGGGGGGGGACGTCACCACCGCACACGGTCCCTTTTGGGGCGTTGGTCTGTGGCAATCTCCAACACGGGGCTGGAAAAGCTCAAGGTTGTAATCTAGTTCCTTCCTCAAATTAGATAAGAGGGAAAAAGGCCATAAATCAACGTGGGCAGCAATTAGAGACCCCAAAGAAGCAGGTGGGGGGCTCTGCCAGCCCGGCTGAGCTCCAACAGGACCAGACCCTGCCTGTGCCAGCTCCCCACATCCCGGGGCTGGACCCTTGACTAAGATCCAGGGCCTGACAGAGGGGCCTGAGCCCTGGGCTGGGGGCTGGATCCAGCCCCACTGCAGGGTTTTGGGATGGATTACAGGCTGGGAGCTGTCGGGTGCTGGGGTTGGCTCTGATTTCCTCCAGTTCTTGTTGTGCCACATCCAGCCCCGGCCACCCAGCACAGCCACATGCTCTGTTGACCCCAAGCCCCCTGGTACCTGCCACAGACCCCCCCCAGCTGCTCCCACCTTGTGCCGTGCCTCAGTTTCCCCCACGACCCCGCTTTCCTCCTGCTTATCTCGGGTCACGGGGGGTAACAAAGGAGCTGCCAGGGCCCTGCCTGTGCTGCCTAATTATCCAGATGAAATCAATTCAGCTCCATTATGGTCAAATCCAGGTCTCAACCATTACCAAGGCGGCTGGAGAGCCCGAGGAAGGATGATGGAGTGGACGCTACAGGGCATGTGATAACCCCTGGTTCTGATGAGAGGGCACAGGGAAGGGGGGATGACGCCCTTGGGTGGGGGGTGTTGGCTCTGTGCTGTGAAGTCCCATCCATCTCCTGGACCCCTTGGCGAGGGGACTCAGGTGCCCCAGGCCAGGGTATGGCACCAGCACCCCTGGGGCACTGCCCAAGGTGGTCCCTGTGGCGCAGCCAAAAACATCCCCCTCTGGGCTGAGGATGAGGACACCATCCCTGCATCCCAGGTTCCTGGGGGCACATCTCTGCATCCCAACATCCTGGGAACAGCATCCCTGCATCCCAGGTTCCTGGGGGCACATCTCTGCATCCCAACATCCTGGGAACAGCATCCCTGCATCCCAGGCACTCATCATCCCTGCATCCCAGGTTCCTGGGGGCACATCCCTGCATCCCAGGCACTCATCATCCCTGCATCCCAGGTTCCTGGGTACACATCCCTGCATCCCAGGCACTCATCATCCCTGCATCCCAACATCCTGGGCACAGCATCCCTGCATCCCAACATCCTGGGCACAGCATCCCTGCATCCCAGGTTCCTGGGTACACATCCCTGCATCCCAGGCACTCATCATCCCTGCATCCCAGGTTCCTGGGTACACATCCCTGCATCCCAGGCACTCATCATCCCTGCATCTTGAGGCCCTGGGCACACATTGCTTCATCCTGGCACACATCATCCCAGCACACATCATCCCTGCATCCCGGGGTCCTGGCACACATCATCCCTGCATCTTGGGCACACGTCCCCACATCCCGGGATCCCTGGGGCAGCACCTCCCCTCCAGCTCCTCTGTCCCAGACAGGGTGGTCTCCCTGCTTCAAAAAGCCCAAAATCCCTCCATTCCCCACACCCAGATGACACCCCGGAGCAGGCAGGGCCCAGTGCGGGGGAGAGACGGTTTATTAGTGACTGGTTTTGCTGCAGAGCACGGGGCGTCCCAACTCCCCCAGAGAGCTGAGCCCCCCCAGATCCTGCACGGACCCCGTGCTGGGGGGCTCTCAGCTCTGCCCCCTCGAGCCAACCCACGTCAGCAGAACAGCTCCATCCCGGCACGCTGGGGGAATGACAAGGAGCCAGGCAGCAGGGCCACAAACCTGGGGGTCCCAGCCCTGGGGGTCCCCCAGCCCAACCCTCCAGCCCCCCCTGGGATGGGCTGGCATTTTCCACTATAAATAAGGTTTCAGCCCTCTCCCCCTGCTTGGGGCATCAGTCCAGGGCTGTGCAGGGGGGGGAAAGCCATGCCCCTGGGCAGCAGGGAGGGCAGAGGGGCAGCGGGGAGCTGAGGGCGGGTGGGGGTCCCCGCTCAGCCAAGGATGTCCAGGTAGACAGGGGGGGTCTTGACGAGGGCCTGGAGGCGGCTGTGGATCTCCTTGATGGGCCGGCGCTGCTGGGGCTCCCGGTGCCAGCAGCTCTGCATGATGGCATAGACCTCGGAGGGGCACGTGCGGGGACGCTCCAGCTCCCGCCCCTGAGTGATGCACTCGATGGCCTGTGGGAACCGGGATGGAGATGGGATCCCCCCGCTCTGGGTACCCCCTGGGGGGTCTGTCACCATCCACTCCCCCCTGCCTGCTCACCTCGGTGTTGGAGAGCTGGTACCAGGGCTGCTTCCCGTAGGTGAAGATCTCCCAGAGCACCACGCCGAAGCTCCAGATATCGCTCTCGGTGGTGAACTTACGGTACAGGATGCTCTCGGGGGGCATCCAGCGGATGGGCAGCATGGTCCTGCCTCCCACCTGCCCACGGCGGGGCTGTCAGGGCAGGGCAGGGCTCCCCCCATCTGCCCCCCTCATCCCTGGCCCCACTCATTAAGCCTCAGACGAGATGTAAGG